GGCATCTTGGTTTCACCTGTGCTTGTCCAGTCTTTTCTCGATGGTCATCATTTTTGGGGAATCGTGACTTTTTTTTCAGGTATAATTATTAAATATGTCCACAACCCACTAACTTAGAGACGGTATTTTGGCTCTGATATTGTCGATGTGTGTGGCCTTACTGGTGGTTATACCTCACTACCTCACTATAATTCAAGTATACAGTATATCTCTTGCATCATTTTGAAAGTCTCTCTCTCTCTCTCTCTCTCTCTCTCTCTCTCTCTCTCTCTCTCTTGTGTGTAAACCTGGGCGCGCGGGGTTAGAATAAGGCCACTGACATCAACAGGAATAGCTTTCGTATAGTCACATATCCATCCTCGAGAGGCAAGAGACCTTCCCCGAGGCCATAGGAAACCCAACCTCGAAAGACCATAATACTCGTCTCTTGAGGCCACGGGTATCAGGTCTTCGCCATTCACAACACCTGATCTAACAATAACCAATTGAGCCAATTTTAACCACAGGCAAGGTGAAGTAAAAATAGAACAGGAAGTACTGTACGGCATTATAACCCTCACACATATTATCAGCTATTCCCCTTATCCCTATAATCACAATATGTTAAGCTGTACTTCACATGAGATACATTTTAAATTCTAGGATATTTTGGTTATTTAATTTTTCCATTTTTTTTTCTTTTCGCGGGTGTTTTTTGGAGAGCTTAGGACTATCGTCACTCTGTATACTTATGTAACCCCTACGTTAACTTTAAACGGTATTATTCTCTATTGTATACTTTCAGATGACGTATTCCTATGTAAACTTTCAGGCTACGTATTCCTATTGTAAACTTTCAGGTCTATTATTCTCTACTGTAAACTCAGGTGTATCCTTACGTGAAATTTCAAGTAAACTTTCAGGTATATATGTCTACGTAAAGGAAGGTTTATCTAACAGCGTTGGGGTTGGTTGTCCTTTCATCTGACCATATTCCCTCCTGCTTATTGAATCAGTTGTTGCAGCTGGGTAAAGTTTGTTAGTAAAGAGAGGGGGAAGTAAATGATGATTTTCCGGAAGAATAATTTAAAAAAAAAAAAGCAAGGGAGTTTCTATACTTGTGGGATGACCTTGTAAACAATGATGGTGATTTTCTTTTGTTTTTCGTTTTTTGTTATCATTTTTTTAAAGTTTATTTTATCTCTATGATAGATTTTAGCTTTGTGTATGTATGTTTTTCTGTGCTTAGGTTTGCGTTTGTATGTGCGTGCGCGTGTGTGTGCGTACGTGCGTCTTTCTGTGTATAATCGATTCTTCGGCCAGTGTGTCAAAATGGCGTGATGTGACAAGATGGCTCCGCTCTGAAGATTGTAAACAGCAGCTTTCACCGTAAATATCATCCGTTTGGTACAGGTTACCTAATTAAAAGCTGGTACAAGATCTGACTTTAACTGTAACGTTTGCTTCAACATAGTCCATCCAGCTGCACACACACACACACACACACACACACACACACACACACACACACCATCGCCTTTATATCCCATTTCGACGTTGTGTAGCCATTCAGAGAGGATTTATTAATTGGTTTAGTGTTTAGGCATCTCCTCACAACCAGTTATGTACGAGTAGTTAGAAAAGCTTAGTGAATTTGTTATGATAGTATCTACTTTACCACTGTCTCGGTGAGGTGTTGATGATTAGATGTGTAAGGTACCGGTTTAAGCCACCAGACATAACAATAACACGCCCTTCTTTGAGACAACATAGCTTGGATTCAGAGCAAAGTGACTCCACACAGTGATATAGGAATAAACTTGGGAGGCAGGTTAAGGGGTAGTGTTTACATCACAGGGGGTCCGTTGGTCTCACACCTCCATCGTCGGCCAGATACACCTGTCTACTTGTATACACCAACACCTACTTCATTCCCACCTAAGTATACAAGGATATTCCCCCGACACGAGAATGATTATAAAAGCCACGCATTTTTTTTTTTTTGTAAGTGGTGACGAGTACTCCAACCACAAAGAGATCCTGAAGCCTTAGAGAGCTCCACAAGCTACAACAGGGATTTAGTATGTTCGTTTCCAAGCCAAAGAAATATACTCCAACATGACAGAACTCCTTCAAAGCACCGGGGAGGGGGGGCTCTTCAGACGATGTGATCCCCAAGCCAGTAAATTTTAAACTATGGAGGAAGAAGTTCAAGATCTCAGAGTTATAAGCAAAGGATAAACTAAACCATAGAAAACTCCTACCTTCACGAAGATCAAAGTACCTCGGGAGTCTTCGAGCCACGGCGAGTCTACAAGCTGCAGGTAGACTCTGATGTGTACGGTATCTACAAGTTCAAGAAGGTGTCAGAGCTATAAGGAATTCTAATCCCAGGCCACATCAGACTCGAAAAGTAGAAATTAATATCCCTGGTTTATGTGGCTCCCCCAAAAAAAACAAGCCTCGGGGAAATCGAAGACAGACATACACATAAAACGATATAAAAACCATTCTAACAGTAATGCCTCACAAGACAGAGAATAGCAAGCTGCATTAAGTTCAAAGCCGACTGAGGACACATCTTAATTCCGGGCAGATGGGCCGGCTGCTTCATTCTATTCTGACCCAATCCAGACGTGACTGCACAGATACCTTGTGGAGGCCTTCAGAGACAGAACAAGACTGATTTGCAATGTCACTACTATTTTGTTGATATTGCAAGAGGAAGAATCGCGGAAAATTGCCGAATTTATGTTTCTCCCAATTATTCCGTTATAAACCAGTACTATCATAAAGATTCCCTGTGACAATCCTCATACATTAATTTAGACGTGTAGAATTTTTTATTTTGCCTTAGCAAGAGTTATAGGTTACTAAAATATATTGTCAAAGCAAGAGAAGCTGGGGCTATTGTTACTATACATTTATATACATTGAAATTCGATTGTCATTTGTTGTACTTTCGGGATGATTTAAGAGCCGAGAGCACGTCCACTTGTTTTAACCAAATAATGTTTAAGCTCGAGCGGACACTAATCTTAATAATAGCGATGTCTTTGAACTACATAGTTAGCCTCTTATCCCTGCCATGACTTGACAATCATTCTCTCTGGAAGTGTATACTGTATTTTGGGCTATTCTGAAATGAGGTGAAATGGAGGAGAAATATTACATTTCCTTGTGAATGTCGGCGATTCTAGTTTTATCTTCTCCCATATGACCATGTAAGTTTCAATCGCTTTGCTGTTTTTAATCCTTGTTTGATCGTAAACCCATTCGATTTGCTTCCTGTTTAACCTTAAAACTTCACCTCCTGGCAGTTTAATGGTGGGACCTGTCAGTAGTTGCATGGCGGGTGGTCATGTCTCGTGTAAACAAGTACTACAGCTGCATGTGTTGATGCTCCCACTGGCTGTCAACCCGATTCTGATTCTAAAGACTTACGTGAACATATTTTCCTCATCTTTTAATAAGAGAACGAATCTAGTTAACACTCTCGGTAGATGTTTTTACGTCTTTTTGTCGAATAGGTCTCTGGCATATAGCTTCAGTGAATGAGATAAGCGAGTTCCCTCAATGCTCAAGTTTGCGGAAAATGTGACGTAAGAAATCATTGAGAATCTGAGTTGTGAATCGTAGCCTCCGCACCTGTGTGGCTGCGGTTCTGCGTCAACAAACACACTCGCCTAGAAACTTTACGCAGAATACCCTTATAGTTCTGTGAGCGACTTGCAGGGGGCGTCGTGTTCCCAGAAGGTCAACAAGAGACGGGGGGGGGGAGCGTGTACAGGTAGTGAATGATGGCAAGTCTACGTGGATTTCTCTCTTTCCTATATGTGAGAATTTTTTACCTACAATGTGAACAAATATAGTAATGGACCATAACCGTTCTCGGATATATCGTCTTGTCTTCTATACATATTTTATTAATTTATTTATTGGCAAACAAAAAAGTTACAAGGAAGTACAACGGCTGAGTGGATCCAACGCTCATAATGGTCGCTGATTCTCACTCACGAGAAATCCCACTTCAATACATTTCTGGGAGGGAGTACTTAACTTTACCGTTTGGGAAGTGAAGATGATCAAGGGCTTAGTGTACTGTAGTGTCGGCTGGAAGAGAAAGTCCTCTGCTCCTGGGTCCATCCGTTCGGTTTAGTAATGTTTAACATATTTACTTTTTTGTCGTTTCTTGTTCGTCGTACACTTGTTTAATGTCATTGATAAGTCGAGAATTATTTCATGCATTATGATTAACTGTGGCTGTAACATCTATTTGACATTTGAAGCTGTGGTCACACCTCAACACAAAAAGTAAAAGATTTTAACTACTATAATTAGCATCTACTTTTAATTCTGAAATCCGTTCACACTTTAGTTTACAATCATAAAATAATTTAAAAGAAATTCTGACAACATCAACGTATAAAATATAATAATATACGATTTACAGTTTACTTTCCTCCCGTAACTCACAATATAACATGAAAGATTCTAAGAAAACATTTATTGCACTGAAAGTGAATTTCGTTTACAAAAATTTTAACATTTCGTATTATTATTTTTAATATTAATTCGTACAAAATTTTTACTCCACGTGGAATTTGTACCTGATGAGTATTTTTAGGTTCTTGTTTTTCATTTAATTTACCACTTGAAACTATAAGGTCATGTGAGGCATGATTTAATCGGGTATTACTGTACGTACTTAATATTCAAATAAGATAAGTCATCGATGTATCATTATTATGCCTGACTTCCTGGTGAAATATGACGGGACTGCTTGAAGAATTACTTTCTAAAATAGTAAATTTTTGGGGAAGATCACTTGCTCAGGTTGACGCGTAAACAAAAGAAAGTCACTACTCGCCCTTAAAAACACGTCATAGTAAACGTGAGTAGAGGGGTAGCACAGTTTTTGTGAGTCTGGACCCACCACAAGACCAACAAACAAAACCAATCACACCTGAAGCCAAGCGAAGATACTAATTAATTATAAAAGTATACGTGAGCTGACTTACCTGTGAGATGTGGAGGGTGAGCAGCATGAGGGGTAGAGTAAACCTTAAGTGTAGGTACCACAAGGCTCAGTCTCCTCTACAGCAGCAGCAGCGGCGCCAACCCAACACTGACCGTGCACGTCGCCTGCACCCAGCTTCCATCACTTGCGTTTCCAGTAATGTTATCGTATATTTGTTTTTAATATTCTTTCTTTCTGTGTGTTTTCTTTTTTTTATTTCATGTATCTTTATATGATCTCTGAGAAAATTTTACATGTTCCATTTTATCATTAGATAATAATGAGAAAGTAAATGCCTCTGTGAATTTTGTAAGTGGTTTCTCAAGTTAATTTTTTATTGTAAAATATCAAATTGTTTTTCTTTATAATTCAACAGTCATCACCAAGACTAAAGATGAACCTGCTATTAAATAAAAATTATAATATTTCCTGGTCTTGCTTAATATTACTTTCGATAAGACATTAAATTTCACTCGCATTACATCATTTTATTTATTTTTTCATTCACCTAATACTCTTCGTTGGTATTAAGCCACTTGTATCATATTTTTATGAAGAGTTCTTAATCGGGTGCAGTCAGTGTCGAGGGTGACAGTAATCAGATGACCGAGTGTGTCACTGTCAGTATGTCAGGCTGGCGGAACACACGAGGTCTCTGCCTCACTTCTTCCTGGATTTGTCTCGACGAGTCATTCAGTTCAAGGGTTCAGAGCATACCGTTTTTTGGTCCTTCTCTCTGTGTGAGTGTGTGTGCACAGAAGGCATTTAAATATGTCTCTGGGTACCAAAAATCAGTGTCATACCAACTTTGAACTGACCCTTGGGAACATTAGATTTCAGCTCAAAATCCAAACTTGACATAACAGTGATTTTGGGGTTTCACAGTACACATTATAACTTGAACCCACATCGTCCGTCTTCAGATACAGTATCGTAGCAACTCTGGTCTCGTGCACTGGTCTCGTAACCCGGAATCTTATCACTGAACAGCAACAAGTTAGTGAGTCTGATTACTTGAATGAAATTGAAATATTGATAATGAAATGGTTGTCAAAATTTATCGCGAGTTTTCCCCCAAAAAATATCGTTATGTAATGTTATAATTATGAATGTAAGATTATTTGATACGCACGAACGGTTCTGTAGTTAGTTTGCTTTGTGTGTTCTCAATGATATTTCTCAAGCGTTCTGGCTTTTCGTGTAACGTATTCTATAGATTTGTCATGTTATTTACTCTGTAGATATAGTATATTTTTCACCAGTGTCACCATTTGTGTTGTCCTCGAGTTGTTAATTACGAAGTGTGTTTTTAATTAACTTTTCTGACTTCATTACAACTAAAATTTTAAGATTTGGAGATGATTTTACTCTACTGTAACTTATATTTCAACACACCCATAAAAACCACCTAAAAATTTTAAATATATTGGTAAAATTTCAAAGAATGATACTTTAAGAAAGTTTTAAATGGTCTGAAATTGGTAAAAACTAATATCTTGACGGAAATTCGCCGTGATAATTTTACTGGCCATAATATATTTCATTCCTCGGGTAAACCATCAGAGCCAGGCAAGACAACCCACAGATCGACAACTGTGAGTCAACAGAGAGCACTACAACATCGTGATTTTATTTATTCTTTAACACCCATGTTGCTGATATTATGAACAAGAGCCCGGACTATCTTAAGTTGGTCCTTCATTATTTTTGTTTCAATAACCTGGGATTGAAAGGCGCACCCATATGTCAAACTAACATCAAAATTACACTTTTCAGAGTTTACCGTAACTACGAAACGAGTTCGTATCCCTCAGGTGGAGATCAATTTAACACATGAAGCTTTGGGAATGAAAACGCAGATTTTTCCGGGCGGGATTGGGACGACAACGCACGTTATTCTGTAAGGAGTGAGGGGTGGCGAGGGAGAGTGCCTCTCTCAGTGCCAGACGCCAGACTGGCCCCAGAGTGCCTGGCACCATGTCATGACCACAGTGTACGGGGCCTCTGGCGTATGATGCTCCTGGTGGCGCTGCTCTCGCCCGCCTTGTATTTATATTTTGAGGGCGATATTCTCTTTTTAACGTTTATATTTTGTCATTGTGTGAGTGTGATTTTCCTCTATTGCTGTCATATTTTGTTAATATATTTTCTATCGTGCTTCTTTAAATCTCGCTTTTGTCTCCTGGTAAATGTTAGAACTGGAATAAAGCCGCACAGTCTCCACCTTCTCACTCTATTATCCCCATAGTGCTCACACGAACACACTGGTGGTTTCAATCTACAAATTGTACTTAATTTGAGGTGACAATGACGTAAGGGTACAGCGGCCAGTAACCACGAAGTTATAAAACACGTCCCTGTATGTTTTGTGCCTGGTAGTCCACACGGCGGACATAAAACCCTGACTCCTATCTTACATTATACTGTACACCTAACAGCCGGCACAGGTGCCTAGTAAGATGAGAGAATATACAGTAGAAGTAACAGCTGTGTAGACTGCAGTTTGGGTCTCGACCGGATTATCTAAGTATCGTAATTTTGCAATTTTCTTCGTAGATCACTATGAAAGGAAGGATGTAGCACGCCAGGAATATAGTTTAATTACATTAGATAGGGTAGGGTGGGTCTGGTGGGTAGGTTTTAGCTGTTTTAAAGATCCGTGATTAGTAACCGAGTCTTAGCAAAGGACCCTACTGGAAATAAGCATTTGATGGCTTTCTTGGCTATCCTTGATCAAATTGCCTTACTGCTTACTACTGTTGTAAAACTGCACTGTCTAGTGTACTGTACATTGTAAACTGTATATCTCCACGGCCTATGTACACCGTATACCTGTATTGTCCACACTCATACTGATCTGTTATTATTATTATTATTATTATTTTGATGGCGTAAAATCTGTCATTGTTGTAGTATACATGCCTACCACATGAATTTCTCTCGAATTATTTATCACATTGTGTGTGTGAGTACAGTACAATTTGTTTAAAACTAAGTACTATATCTTGAACATTAAGTTAGTTATATAAAACTCAACATTTTAATTACTGTAGTTCTACCCAACAGGCATGTAGGTTGAAATAGAAAATGGGCATGTTTGTATATATCCGTATTATGCATTGGATATTAAGCTATTTCTAAGTTTGATTTTGTAATGCAAATATTAAGAAAAATATTCTGTTAATTTTAATAATATAATTTTTCTTATAATTGTTAGAAAAAAAAATTAAAATACGAACTAAAAATGGTTTTCATACAATTGTTAACTATATTAGTAAACGCGGTACTAAAAGGTAAACAACCTGGAAAATAAACAGCTGACCATATTTCCATTGTTGTTTACCTTTTGAAATCTGTAAACAGCTGCGTGTGTCGCGTTAACGTTTAGTGTATATGAAAAAGAAAAATGGCCCTAAAGTAAGTACCTGTAATAAATGTCAGAGCGTATGTCTGCTGTCTTAACTGATATAAGCTGCTGAGCGAGTAGAAAGTAAAGGTTGACGGGTCTGGGGTATTGTCAGGAAAAAAATTGCATTGCTAAAGATTTATCCATTAAGAAATTAATTACGAATTGATTTGGGAAATGTTCCATATAAGGTCATATCTAGATTAATCTCATTAGGCATTATAAAAGTGTCGTTACCTTGGGATAATACTTCTGTGTATCTGGTATAGTCCTTTTTATTTCGTTTTGCCTTTCGACTTTACTGTATTCTTAGCCCAGCCCATCATAGAACAAGTTTTTCACGTGTGTCCTGTGAAAATTGTATAGTATACTCATATCTGATTCAATGGGAAAATCCGATTAAGTCATAAGGATTTGCAGGGTTTAATATTACCTTTGCAATTTTAATTACTCTGAACATTAGTCTAAATCGACATAGAATGATGCAACATTAACTGTTCATGTAAAAAAATTATCATCTACTGGAATACTTCCAGAATTTTACCAGCTACTGCTACACTATATGATCTAACAGATATAAGGTGAACCAGTCTAACCTACCTATCTTAGGTTAGGTAGGTACCTGGTAGGTTAGGTTGGATCATTTTATCTCATATATATATATATATATATATATATATATATATATATATATATATATATATATATATATATATATATATATATATATATAAGGTAGCAGTAGATCTAAGTTGTTCCTCAGTGGATCTTTCATGTGTATGAAACACTGTTGAGGGAGAAGATGGCCACAATAATAGTGTTTTGAAAGTTGCAATTTAGAAATAAAGTTAACATCATCTCTGGTTGTTTGTGGAGCATTACAAAATAAAAACCTGGGTGAGAGGTAATGCTTCAGTGCATAGTGGTGTTCAGGACAACAAAAAAAGCACAAGAATATTATGACACAAAATGGGATTTTCGTGGAGTAAGAAAGCATTTATCTTCTATAGCTCAAGAAAATTGCAAGTAATAATGAGGAATTGCAAGTTTTTAACTTTTATTTTTTCTTTGTTTTTCCAGTATATAATGGACTTCAAACAGGCATGCGTATCCAACACTATTTTTGGGGTTTCATCTGGTGTTCACAAACAAACACTCCCTAACAAAATTTCCATGCACAAGCACACTTCCAGCAACTACTGTATTATATGAATTATAAGAGAGAATGAATCAACCAAACCTAACTTAACTATCTTAAGATGCAATTACAATTCCTTAGGTTATGCAGGTTGCTCTGACTATTTGTTTGGAAAGGTCACAGGGGAGCTTTCAGTCACTAAGTGTTTGTTTGTTACTGTACCAATAGATCATGGGGAAATTGTCAGATTAATATTATCTGAGTTATTTGTCTGAGTGTCGTTTGAATATCCACTGCTGCATTTATATAATTCCTGAGGAAACAAAACAGTTCTTCCTTATAAAAACCTCATAGACTAGCTTAGGTGCAACTATTTTGTTTACTAATAATACAATTAAGAAGTTAAAGTTTAACTCTGTGGTTTAATTTGTTTTTTGAGAAGGAAACTAGGGTGAAACTACCTGTAGTATGAGTTTATGAATGCAGTGTACAGTAAATGGACTTCATCATGCAAATGTGCTTGGCATGTGTTGACAAATCTGTTGTTAGGGGGCTACATGGCATGAATAACTTACGTAGGTCTGTACAGCACAAACCAACCAGGTCTAATTAACCCTACACTCTTTGTTTACACTTGGGTTTGGTTAGGTTAGGTTAGTTTGTATCATAAGCAGTCAAAATGTCGTCCATGTTTTTTTTTTTTATACAACTGTGGGGCTTCTTGTGGCAAATTTCATATTGTTTCTTCATTGGTTTACACTTATTTTCATGTTCCCATACCATTCTCTATACTGAGCATCAAAGCCAGTGGTAAAGATTTAATTAACCTTTATAGTGGAAAATGTTCACCTAAAATTTAACACAGCTACTTGAAAAAAAAACATCAGGTTATTTTGGAGTTAGGTGAGTGTGATCAGTATCATTACAGTAATTACTGGAGGAAGTATGGGAATAGAAAGTGCTAATTACAAGTACTCCTCGACTTACAACCACCTGGACATGCGACTGCCGCAGTCGTACAAAAGTTTTTTTTAAATTACGTATTTTCGAGTCCCGACGTTAGTGATCATGCTGTGTACTGACAAAAATTTTGTTTGTAATTCCCTTTAAAATGGCTGGCAAGCGTAAAAGTGAGAGTTCTTGTGGTGCTAAGAAGAAAAAGAGACACCCATTTTAGATTTTCTATGTATTATTTTCTCATTTTCGAATTATGATCTGGTCGTCTGTCCCTAACCCCGTCCTAAGTCGGGGACTGACTTTACTGTACTTTACTGAATATGTCTACAAACCCTCTCATTATAATTATCAGTCAACCTTGAAGATGGGCACACTGCTTGTACAATAATTATATTTGGGATGAATTGAGGATTAGGCACACCAGTTTATTTCACCAGATGTTTAAACACCTTAATGATACCTGGGGAGGAGGTTAGGTTAGGTTAGCATTAAGGTGTGTAATCAATAGTTCAAATAATCTTCATGTGATCCTCTAATTTTATTTGTAGTTCAGCAGATAGTTTACAAATCATCATTTCTTTTGGTACAGATCTGGTGGACTCAAGATACTACAAGTTGTTTTACCAGGAGATGAGGTTTTGCAGTTTAGTCCCAATGGAAATAATGAGCGTATCATCTTGGGGCCAGGACTTCGCTGGCATGAAAATAATATCTGTGCAACACGCTCTGGTCTTTTGAAGAAAGCTAGTAAGAATTTTTACTATGTAGATTCACACCAGAAGCGATATATTCCTCATGAAAAAGAATTTGTTATTGGAATAATCCTCAGGAAAAAAGGTGACAATTATCTTATAGATATAGGAGGAAATGAACCCGGAACTATATCATGTCTAGCTTTTGAAAATTCCTCAAAAAAGAGCAGAAAAGAAATGAAACCCGGAGACCTCATCTTTGGACAGTTACTTGTAGCTAACAGAGACATGGAACCAGAGCTTGTGTGTATTGACGTGTTTAATAAGACAGTAAGTATGGAGTCACTTCCAGATGATGGCATCATGTTCACTGTCCCTCTGCATGTTGCACGTATGATTGTGAATCCTGAAAATATATACTTAATGAGTATTGCCAAGAAAATCAATTATACAGTGATTGTGGGTTTTAATGGGCGGGTTTGGCTGAAGACAGAAAAACAGAGAGATATGGTAGCTATTATGAATTGTATCATGATGCTGGAGTTCATGAGTTTAGAGGAAGCAGAGAAGAATGTTTTCAGACTCCTCGACTCTTTCTTAGTGCCTGTACAACATTGATCGATTTTACACTAATCTAAATAGTTTCTGTTAATTTCTAGTAAATAAGATATTAGGTTCAGGGGGAGCTATTCATTTTGTCATTCTCTGGGTGAAAAGTTTTTGATCAGACAGAAGCTTGGTATTTTTCTATTTTGATTGAAAAAAAACAATGTAGCTTTAGGCTATTAAGGTAGAGCCTTTAATTAATTGGATTATTGATGCAAGGGCAGGGACCCATTAAGTGGAAAGTTTTCTTGTGAATTTTTTTAATTTTTCCATCACAGTTCAATACACTAGAATTGTTATAAGGAGTGTAATGCTTGAGAGGATTTTGCACTTGTCTTAAGACCCAACACCCACAGATTCAAATCCTACACTTGGCCACTGCCTCAGTTGATCCTGTTGTGGATTGAATACTTAACATGATAATTGACGAAGTGAGAGATAATGAAGAGCAGGGCCTGCCTTGTTGTCTCCTCCTTGTACAGTACAGTGTATTGTATACTGAAAGCTTTAATGTACTGTACTCTATTCACATAGCTCCTAATGGGCATTCAGGCCTAGGAGACCAACTTTTCATTACAGTACAGTACTATGCAGTATTTATATTAGGGTGAACTAAGGTTGCCCTGAACATGAACTACTAACACCTCTTCAGCACTGTAACACTGCTATACCGTAATGTATTAATTGTTCTACAATACAGTACTTGTACTGTATGTAGAGTCTCGTTCAAGATTCTTCGAACACTGCTGGAGACTGCTGGTAACTCAAGGCTGTTTGTTTACTATAGGAAGTCGTAAAATTTATGAATGAATGTAAAAGTGATTGATGATTGGTTACTTAGTCACCGTTGCTTAATTTATGGTTAGGCTTTTACATTCATTCATAATTTTTAATATGTACAGGTACTATAGTAAACAAACAGCCTTGAATTGACAGCTGTCTCCAGCAGTGTTCGAAGAATCTTGAACGAGACTGTACAATCAAAGACAAAAGTCGTGTCACGGTCCGAAGATCAAATATAACTCGTGAAACATTGTGAGATCCTCCTACTACAAGGCAGAGCACAACAAAAGTGTAGCCTTTCGGCATATGTTTTCACCAAATTTCACAACACGACTTTTGTCTTTCATTGTACATATACAGAAGTACAATACTGTATTGTTTTAACACACTACAATGGTGGCCTGCAAATTGGAGCAGTTTTCTAGGGATTACATGTTGCATAGGAAATAGCTTACAGTGTTTACATTTAGATGAAGGTTCACATGAAATAAACAGTTCAAAATTTTAGTATGTTTTCTTTGCCTTATACTACTTAGTTTATTGAGGAGTACAGTACAGAACTGTATTTGAGGTTAGGTATGACATTACTTAGTATCATACAAAGAGTGGCTGTTGGCTTTACTACATACTGTACTGTACAGATATTCAAGGCTTTGTTGTTAAACAAGACATCTTGACCTAACCAGTGTTTGTCCAGGTTTTCTTGAACCTCACCACAACTGTAATTGTAGGTTTTTTCTTTTTTCCAAACATATTTGGAAAAGTTTCCTGCTTTTAATAGATTACTGCTCAGCCTTTTGCATCTTATTTTACTGAAAGATGATTTTTATATAACAAGGTTAAACACGGAATTTAATCGTATGGTGCTGTCTTCACTGTGTAAAAATTTTGATTTCTGAACTGTAATCCTAGTTTCCATACCCCATATTGTTCGAGTACCTCACCCCTAGAAACAGGAAGTTCCAAATTGATTTTTAGATCAGTGTGTCAAAGGTCAAAGTCATTGTTGCTAAAATTGTAATCAGAGCTGTTATGCACTGACAAACCTGAATTTGTACATGTATGTTGTGCCAAGGGAGAGCAAGGTCCTTATTGATTTTAAGGTCTTGATACAGTAATGGAAGTGGCATTGATAAGATTGTTCTGGTCACGATTGTTTTATTACAAACAGTTATGGGAGAAAAAATATGCTAAATATTTTATTGCTGTCACCGTCAATAACATAAAGAAAAAAAGGCTCACTTATGAAGTACAGTATAGTACAGTAGGTTGATTTGTAAATATTTCACTCCAGTGATTGATTAGGCGATCATGCCGTAATCATCAGTTCTGTTATGAAAACCCAAAAAGATTATTAGCTTTAGTAGTCATTACTGGTATAAAGATGATAATCTGAATATATTGCATGGTACTCTTTGATAGCTGCCTACTACCTACAATAGTAAACATGAGCCAGCATAACCCATTACCAGCATTTCATACCCTAAAGATCACTTGAAACCGTCTTTTCCACTTATTCACACACTTCCACTAACTGGATATCCGCCCTGCTTATTCTCAAGCATCCCTCATCCTATCATTTCATCAAATTGGTAATTCTCTTACTCCTACTATCCAAATCTGAATTATATACTGTACTGTACATATTGCTTTATCCATATTTTATAGATGGCATGGTGAGTTAGATAATCATACTGGCAGTAAGGTACGGATATGTTCACTTCACTTATTGTGCTTTATAGTAGAGATGGGATATTCGCTGTGAGCTATGAATGCAGGGTAGTTTTAGCTCACTATATAACAGTCCCTAATGTAAACACACTACCCTACGATCTTTTGTGAAGAGTGCATGAATGCCCTCGCGCATCAACAAGTGAGGGCAATGTTGCTGTTGTAATACCTGTAGTACAAGCATTCACTGCGATCACCATGAAAATTTGTAAGGAGTTGTGTATACATTTTTCTGAGACCCTGTATACGATATAGTGAGCTAAAACTATTCATAGCTCACAGTAAAGATGCCATCACTACTGTGAACCACAATACGTGAATATACCTGTAGTTCACAGCCAATATGCTTAAGTATATAACTCGTTTTACCACAACAAGTGAGGTAAAAGATGAGTTCTTGGCGAGGATTTTGTGGAACTTTAGTACGTGTATAATATTTTTATCGCAGTAACTGTGAGAAAATCACTTAGTGTTGTTATACCAGCGAGCCTGTTGGGTGTATAATCTAAGAGTTTTATCTTAACCGGAACAAGGTAACAAGCAGCTCTGAGGACCGGCATAAGGTAATACACAAAATCTGCTGCTAAATGATTCTGAAATTAAATTTGTGGGGTAAAATACATGTATAGTAATGGATGATTCCAAAAATTCCAAACGGTCAGTAGCGATTCAGTTTACTCCAGAGGAGTTTTTGCTTTCTCGTCCTGTCAAACTCGTCTTTGCCTAAGTTTTCCTGGGGCTTACCTGGCTGGGTACCAACTGGCATTTTGGCAGGTGATGCCACGGCTCTAAGAAAGTACACTATCATTTTTTAATATCATCGGGGCGCGTACCATCCACCACCTCCGCAGATAAACATATTTCCTACACGTTCCGTTTTCACTCACTTAGAGGCGTGTAGAGCAGTGTTGTGTCTGACAGTTTATTTATCAACGCAAAGAAAATACGAGCAGCTTGAGATATTATATAGAAATGAAGTACAAGGCATGATGCAAGAAATAAAGTGTTGCCTAGAGCATGTCACGGGAACCTATAAGCTTAACTATAAGCCTTGATGTTACCTGATGACTCGCTCAACGAGAACACACCTTTAATATAGTCTTTTCTTTTTGTATCGTGGCTCGAGAATGGTTCAATAAGTCGATCAATTTTTTTATATAGACTCAAGTGGAACCAAGAAAAGTTCTAGTCAATGCGACGTCATTAACCAAAAGAGACCCAAACACGGTCGAACTTGTTTTCAGTATACTGCATAGTACATACAGTATTGAGAGCAGTGACAGATGAACGATGGTCTCTCTGGTTACAAGATTAAAACATAATTGCTCTTTCCCTGGTTCCAGTTTTGTAGTACTTTAATTATTTAAAGAAATCTTGGATCTCGCAAGAATTAGGAACCCTCGCTTATTTAACCTGATTAGATTAGGTTAGCATTAGGATGTTTTATCATCAGGTGAAATAAACTGGAGTTACTAATCATCATTAGACACGAATTAATTTGTGTATTAATTTGATTAGATTTTATATACAAAAAGTAACAGTAGTTAATGTAAGCACTTTTTATGAAGCATTTGTTATATATTACGAGTGTATTAGTTCCTGGTTGGTCAGTTCCTCCCCGCCAGCCATTTCGCTTCACTTTTTTTTTCCAATTACGTACTACATCTGTCTGAACGTTAACCTGGGCTGTTACATCGTGTGAACTTTAATTGGTCATTCATATTGGGTTATTGATATTTCAGCGTAGTATTTGTGGGGTAACATAAAGAATAAACACCCCAGATTTATTTCACCTTATGATTAGACACCCTAACGCTAACCAAACCTAAATTAACTTGGCATAATCTCTAACCTAACAACCCAACCAAAGCCTTCAGGTAGCGTAGGGTGTTTAATCGTCACGAGAATTAAGTTGAGGTTAATCTTTGGATGATCAACTTTTTTGTTGTTCAATGTGTCGTCTGTTGATTGGCGTGCACTGGTAAACAATCAGGCGTTGTCTTATCTGGAGAATTATGTAGATTTATTATCCATTGCTCTGAATATTTCAAATCGTTTTCAGATAATTAGATTCAGTTTTTGAGGATGAGGTGAGTAGTCTGGTAATCAATCGACCTCGAGGGATTACTTAGGTAGTCCAATGAAGGGGGGGGGGACCCTAGGAAATAACTCAATCTTAGAGGATGAGTCATTAGTAAGAGCCAGTCTTAAGGAACAAGAGTCAACCTTGGAGAACGAGTCAACCTTGAAGAACGAGTCAACCTTGTGGCCTGTTACCTTCTTGAGAAAATTACCGTGTTGGTAGTAGAGCATGCCCTCACCCGACGTAGGGAAAACATCGTCTGGCACGGGGGAGGGAGACTTTGTCCACCCATTCTTGTGAATGATGATATCATACCGTCGTTCCCTTTCCTGGTTGACTGGCTTCCTTCGTCATCACTGTCTCCTGCTATTTTTTATGCCATTCTCGCCGCCACCTCTGCGATAAACTAAGTGAACCAATTCAGAAGAGTTCTCGCTTCTCCAGGTAGGAGGAAATCATTAAGAAACTGGTTACTGACTCGTTACTCCTGTTTACATTTACTTCATGTTTTCTCTTCTTTTTTTTCGTTGCCCTACTCTTACTTTCTCGTTCTCTCAGCTTTCTATCTGTTTCCTACACTAATCGGCTATTTTTCATTGTTCTCTGCATGTTTTCCTCATCTGTCGAACATTTTTAGGTACTATATTTGTTTTCATCAGTTGTACTCGGCTTCTCTGGTTCCTATATTTGTATTACAGAGAGCGGCGGCTGAGTTGTTATTGTACCACGTGAGATAGAACTAGAGGTGCGGTATAATCACATTCCCGCCGGGTTAACCCATAAAAAAACCATGCGAAAATATGTTGATGTTTATTATATATCAGTGGTGACATTACACGCGGCCGGGTGAGGTCTTGGGTAGGCTGGAGCGATTGGCTGGGGGAGGTCGGGTAGCTCATTGCCACTACTGCTTTTATTTTTATGTACGGTTATGGATTTACTCTTCTGTACAACCGCTTGCTAAACACCCGCCCCTACTGTAGCTCTCCTGTGAAATACTAACTGGTTGACGAGTAAGTGATGGCCTCGTTCTGGTCTACACCCCCTGGGTTATCCTGCTCTCTACCACTCACACCTGCCCCATTTAACAAGAAAGAAAGAACATAAGAAAAATAAGGAGTCTGGCCGGTTGGCCTGTGCATGGCAGCTCCTGCCGAGAGTTACTACCACTCTATCATCCTTGAATCTATCTAGCCTCCTTTTAAAAC